AACTGTCGCCACTTTCGAGGGCTGCTGGGGGGGCCCGCACAGTCTGCACCCGCGGCGGGTTCAAATGTGACCTCGCCATCCCTGGGGGGCTGCGATCTGCGAAACTGCCGCCACTTTCGAGGGCTGCTGGGGGGGCAGCACAGTCTGCACCCGCGGCGGACTCAAATGGGACCTCGCCATCCCTGGGGCGCTGCGATCTGTGAAACGGTCGCCACTTTCGAGGGCTGCTGGGGGGCCCAGCACAGTCCGCACCCGCGGCGGACTCACATGAGACATCGCCATCCCTGGGGGGGCTGCGATCTGCGAAACTGTCGCCACTTTCGAGGGCTGCTGGGGGGGGCAGCACAGTCTGCACCCGCGCCGGATTCAAATGGAACCTCGCCATCCCTGGGGGGCTGCGATCTGCGAAACTGTCGCCACTTTCGGGGGCTGCTGGGGGGCCCAGCACAGTCTGCACCCGCGGCGGATTCAAATGTGACCTCGCCATCCCTGGAGGGCTGCGATCTGTGAAACTGCCGCAGCTTTCGAGGCCTGCTGGGGGGCCCAGCACAGTCTGCACCCGCGGCGGGCTCAAATGGGACCTCGCCATCCTTAGGGGGCTGAGATCTGCGAAACTGCCGCCACTTTCGAGGGCTGCTGGGGGGCCCAGCACAGTGGGTACCCACGGCGGATTCAATGGGACCTCGCCATCCCTGGGGCGCTGCGATCTGTGAACATGTCATCACTTTCGAGGCCTGCTAGGGGGCCCAGCACAGTGGGTACCCGCGGCGGAGTCAAATGTGACCTCGCCATCCCTTGGGGGCTGCGATCTGTGAAACTGTCGCCACTTTCGAGGGCTGCTGGGGGGGGCCCAGCGCAGTGGGCACCCACGGCGGATTCAAATGGGACCTCGCCATCCCTGGGGGGCTGCGATTTGTGAAATTGTCGCCACTTTCGAGGCCTGCTGGGGGGCCCAGCACAGTGGGTTTCCCGCACGTCTTTCTCCTGCTCTTCGCTCCCGTCTCCCCATGTCCTCTTCGAGCCTGTAGTTGTCGCCCTTCGTTCTTGTATGGTTCTCCTGCGCATCATTCCATTGGCGCGTGTCCCAAGTAGCTTACATATCAAACAACGGATCCTGCAATTCGATTGTCCGTGCAAGATTCGGCCAACTCCTCGTTTCCCATGATACAAATGGGTTGGGTACGTCACAGGGTAATTTTATGATTATTGAACTTTCCATTACGAGTGGATTAATTCTGCTATTTTACGATAGGTCTGACTACCACGATTGGTCTGATTAAGTCCTGCTCCACCCATTTCTGCGACTCCAACTACTCTTACTACAACTACCAAAACTACTACTACTACTACTACTACTACTACTACTACTACTACTACTACTACTACTACTACTACTACTACTACTGCTGCTACTACTACTACTACTACTACTACTACTACGATTGCTACGACTACTGTTACTACGACTACCAGTGCCGCTACCATAAGGCGCACCCTTATTATTACGATTGCTACGACTAACCCTGCTACTTCTACTTCTACCGCTATTATTTCGAGTACTAGTAGTAGTAGTAGTAGTAGTAGTACTACTACTACTACTACTACTACTACCACCATTGTCACTACTACAACAACAACTACTACTACTACTACTACTACTACTACTACTATTTGTTACTACTACTACTACTACTACTACTACTACGACTACCATCATTACTACCATGCTTGCTACCCTTACCACAGCCACTACCACAATTTCTAGCACTGCAGCTCTTACTACTTCTTTATAACTGCTAGCACTACTACTCGTACTACTACGGGTACTATTATTGCATTTACTAGTACTACTACGAATACTACTACTACTACTACTACTGCTACTACTACTACTACTACTGCGAATACGGCGGTTACTATTATTCGTAGTATTACTCTTGCTACTACCACTACAACCAAGATTGTACTTACTACTTGTATACTTACTCCTGCTACTACTACGACCTCTACCACTACTACTACTACTGCTGCTACTACTAGTACTACTGCTACTACTATTACAATTACTACCACTACTACTACTACTACTACTACTACTACTACTACTTCTACTACCACGAGTTCCATGACTACGCTTGCGTCTATTGTTCTTATTACCTTGACCAATGCTGATACGACTATTAATTCTACGGCTACGACTGGAACGACTGCTACCACGACGACGACGGCCCATACTAGTAGTGGTACTACTACGGCCACTACGGCTACCATTGGTAGTGTTCGTACTGCTACTACCACTGCTACCACCACTACTACGACTACTACGACTACTACTACTACTACTACGACTACTACTACTACTACTACTACTACTACTACTACTACTACGACTACGACTACTACTACTACTACTACTACTACTACTACTACTACTACTACTGCTACTAGTACTACTACTACTACGACTACTACTACTACCAGAAGTACTACCATCACAACTACTACACTAGTATTTTGTTTTTCTACCACTACACCTATTACTGCTATTTCGACGGCTGCTATTACTGTTACTTCTGGTTCTACGGCTACTACTACCAAGATCACCACGATTACTAGTACGAAGACTATCATTATTACGGTTGCTACCTCTGCTGCTACTACTACAGCAACTACTACGACTACTATTACTACTACCACTACTAGTGCTACTACAAAAGCTACGCCTCCTACTACGGTTCTATCACGGCTACTACTACTGCGAGTAGTGGTAGTAGTAGTACTTCTACGACTACTACTACTACTACTACTACTACTACTACTGCTACTACTACTACTTCTATTTCGACGACTGCGACGACTACTACTGCTACAAGTGCCTCTGCTACGCCTACGACCACTCCTACTACCACTGCACTACCACTACAGGTACGAATACTAGCACCACCACCGCTACAATCACTATTACTACGACTACAACATGAACTACGACTACTACTATTACTATCACAACGACCACTACCACTATGACTGCTGCTACTTCTACTACTGTTACTACGACTACAACTACTACGAATACTACTACTATTACTACTACTACTACTACTACTACTACTACTACTACTACCACGAATATTACTAGAGCTTCGACTACTATTACGACAGCGACTACGACTACTAGTATTACTGTTCTTACGAGTCTTAGTACTACTACTACTACTACGACCACTATTACTACTACTACTACTACTACTACTACTAGTACATCTATTACTCTACCACACTACAACTACTACGGCTATCATTATCACACTACTACGACCGTTACTACTAAAAGTAATACAACTACTACTACGAAAACCACGACTGTTACCACCATTATTACTACGATTATTATACTAGTACGAAGAGTACTACTATCAATACTTCTTGTGCTATTGGTGCTACGACTACCGCTTCTACCGCTACTACTACTACTACTACTACTATCGCTACTACTATTATTACTACTACTACTACTACTACTACGACCACTACGACCATTACTACCACTACTACTACTATTACTACTACTACTACTACTACTACTAATACTACTACTACTACTACTACTACTACTACATCTACTACGACTACGACTACTACGACTACTACTACTTCTATCACTACTACTACTACTGCTACTACTACTACTGCTACTACTACTACTACCACTACTAGTACTACTCTACTACTTCGGCTACTGTTTCGGAAGAGACCAGCTCTCCGATCGTTCCCCTAGTTCCAGACCGGGACATTCGGCCTTGGCCATGCACTCCTGCGCATCGTACGTTTGAGAGGTTAATCGAGAGCGTGGCCGATGCTGCTGACATCTGGAGGTTTACGAGCAGATTTGCTTTACTAAGCTAGGTGCCTGGAACAGGGATGTGACTGTTGTTGTTGCTGCTGCTGCTGTTGTTTCAACGCTCCAGGCGTTCATCAAAGATTGTAAGCAATCTTGTCAGTAATGATTATTGCCCCGAGCGCTTCTGATTATATGTGCCAATCCCGAGGCCTCGGTTTTCAAGTAAGTGCTAGAGGCCTCACAAGTTGCCAAGCCGCCCTCAAAATGCTTCCACCTTTTGTTTTAGTCGCTCATGACAACGTGCCTTGGGCTCTTGGGTCCGTCGCGATCGAGTGGAGACGCTGTTCGGCGGTTGCTAGAACACCAGCCAGGTGCAAGTCGTTGCTGAGGCCTGGGGCCAGGTGCGAGCCAGGCGGCATGGTCAGCCATCTGGCCGGTGCGACCGAATCGCTTCGCTGGCGCCAGCATGCCAAGGGGGAGGGGGAGGCCCGCCCATGCCGCTGCTGCTGCTACGGGGACGGAAGTGGGAGGGCATCTCTCGTCGAGCATGGCGACCGCGCTGGAGCCTTCTGGTTCTGCGGGCTCTGCGGGGCACAAGTGGCCCTGGGCTCCTCCAAGGCCAGCCGTATGGCTGCAGGCATGCACCCAGCCACAGGAGTCAGGCTTTGATGCTAACTCTTTTGGCTTTGAGTGACGCGTGCTCGGGTTGGCGACGCCGTGTCTTTCTTTTTCCATATTCATAGTTTGGGTTATGTTTTCGGACGGTTCCATGGTGGTTTGCTCGCTCGCTCGCTCTCCCTGTCATCCTCCCCTTTCTCCTCTTCCTCCTCCTCGTCATCATCATTCCTTCGTCCCGTTCATCACCTCCTTCCTGCCCGCCGAGAGTATAGCGCAATCGAAGGCAGCAGCAGTGGGAGCAGGGGGTAAAGGCGAGGCGTGGATCTGGCGAGCGCGCGATCGCTCCTTGAGAGGGTAGAGCGAGCCAGGGTCAGACTTTCCTTGCTGGTCATCTACATTATTCTTGCCCCCCTTCTCAATCCTGATCCTCCTCATCATCATCATCATCATCATCATCATCATCATCATCATCATCATCATCATCATCATCATCATCATCATCATCATCATCATCGTTTGACCTCCCCTTCCGCGTTCACAGGAGGGCAGCTGCTGCCCCGGGCCCAACGGCACGCACCAGGAGTGCTGCCTGTCAGAGCCGGTGCCCTCTGGGGTAACGGGGAGGGCGTCGCTCACGCGCGCGGGCGAAGTTGTCGCCCTGGCGTCGTCGCCTGTGTCTCGAAGAATAACAGAACAATGGCAGAAACATCACGTACCTCGGATGTCCGCGCGGCTGTCTGGGATCGGCGCTGGACCCCCCTTGGCGGCGGCTTAGGCGCCGATCTGGCGCCGTGAAGCGCTGATCTACGAAATCCGCGCGGACCTCCGACAGTCAGTGTTTTCTTGTGGGTGATTTTTCTTTGTGTAGCGTCATTGGCGACGTCGTGGACGTCGTGGTCGTCGTGGTCAGGGCCAGGGTCGTGGTCGTCGTCATCGTCGTCGTCGTCGTCGTCGTCGTCTTCGCGGTTGTGGTCGTGGTCTTGGCAAGGCCCGTCGATGCGATGTCGATTTCGGCCAGCCCAGTCCGGTTTGACTCCGTCTTTCCGACGATCCGGTGCGGCTGGATGCACACAATGGGGACCCATGCCAAGAAACACCTTGCTTGCCTCAGGGTGCCCTGGGTTTCTTGGGTTTCGATGGTTTTGCTGTGGACAGCGTGACGTTCCCACACCAAAAATCGATGGACGTCCTGGGGTCTCAGGGTTGGGATTCATGTGCAAGGTTTCTTGTGGCTGGGCCTCCACTGTGCATCGCACAGCCGTGCACCTTGGCGCGGCCGATGCGATGCGTTTTCGACTGCGTGCCGATGCAGCCCGATCCGACGCACAGTTCGAGCCGATCCGATGCCCCGATCCGAGACTGACTGTTCCTCCGTCGTCGTGGTCGCCCCCTGGCCACCCTCGACGGCGCGCGTGCCTCGGGCCGCGGTGCCCCGATCCTCGCGGCGCTGCTCGGCAGCGGGGTCGGTCCGTCGCTGGTGCCTCGGGGGCCTCCTCGCGGCTCGGTCGTCTCGGGCAGGTGCTCGGTGGTCCATTTGCGCCGCGAGGGGGCGTGCCAGTTTCGGTCAGACCTGCCGCGCGCTCGCTCTCTCTCTCTCAGCCCACCGTTCACCTCATATTTTCAAGACGCTGGAACTCAGGACCGTTTTGGGTTGAATAAGGGGCTCGGGTTATATGTGATGAAACCTGTTTGTGGCCCAGGCCCGCCGTGACCAGCCAAGCCCCTCCGTTCCTTAGCATGCGTTCCACATGGTAGCACGATAGCTGCAACTTTGCTTAGCGCAGTTCGGCTCGTGGGTTGCTCCCGGTTCGCTCGGCAACTCTTTGAATCGCATGGCGGTTGTGGCTGCAGGCAAACGCAGAAAGAAGGACCGTCTTGGGTTCGGAAAGGGCGCGCGGTCTTTTTGGTCCTGCCATGACTGTTCCTCTGGCCCCTGTTCGTGCACCCGGGCGCCTCTGGGGCCAACCAGGGGGCTTCGTTCCACAGCTATCGATTCCTTATTTCAGCCGCCCCCTGTGTGCCACCCCCTCTCCCTGTGCCCCCCATGTGCGGCGCACCGGGGCCTCGGGAGGCCCCCTGCTCCGCAGGCGGAGAGGCGGAGGGCGCGAGGTATTGCGACAGCAGGGCGCGTAGGCACGGGAGGATTCGCGGGCAGGGCAATCGTTATCCAGACCGATTGTGAGAACGAGGGGGGGGAGGAGGAGGGAGGAGGAGGCGGAGGAGGAGGCGGAGGAGGAGGAGGAGGAGGAGGAGGAGGAGGAGGAGGAGGAAAAGGAGGAGAACGCCGCCAGCCTCTGCTCCAGTCTTCCCCGACCTGGGGGCCCCTGACGGGCGCGGGGACTGTCCAGAAAGACTTGGGACGAAAAGCCGGTCCACTGGAGGGGATCGAGACCTCTGGGGAGCCACATTGTAAGCAAAAAACGCGTCGTCGAATGTCTGGGTCACCCCCCGGGCCAGCTTCACCGGGAGGCTCGCCCCGGGTCGGGAGGGAGGACCAGGAATGCCTTGCTGCAGGAAGGCCCCGCAGCGCCGTCGGTTCCGCCAGGTCAGCGAGCCAGAGGAGGAGAATGGCGAGAGTTGGTTGTCCAGACCGTTACGGCGTGTGCCTAGCGAAGCCCTCCCCCGGGGCACGCACATTTCTGTACAAGTGCAAGAGGAGCCCCGTGGCAAGAGTAAGGCAACGACACGACACGACCACGGGGACACCAGACGACACGACGACGACACAGGCGCTGGGGGGAGGGAAGAAAGAGGACACTGAGATCCGACGTCTCAAAACATTGTGACGACGTGAGAATCGAGCCCGGAGCCCTAGACCCGATCTTTCTGCGCCATTTTTCGGGCCGGATTGATCCGTGAGGGTCCCGGGGCCCGAAATTACGCGAAAACGTGTTGAGGGAAACCGAGGAGAGAGGAGGTTTAACCATAGCCTGAGGCGCTACCATTGCGCCACCCTTCCGCAGCCTCTTTGGCACAAAAGTTATCATGGTAGCGGAGCTGGCCACGGCCAAGTCCCGGTGGGCGCCCCTCCCCGCGCGTAGGCTGGCCATAGCTCCCGCCGCCGCGGCCGCAGGACGTGCTTTGATCCACGGCGACGCGCTGACACAGCAGTTGGCCAAGGTCTACGTGACCAAGCAGCTGAACGAGGTCTACGTGGCCAAGCAGCTGGACAGGGTCTACGTGACCGCAGGAGTGTTGAACGAGGTCTGCGTCACCACAGGAGCGTTGAACGAGATCTACGTGACCACAGGGCAGAAGAACGAGGTTTACGTGACCACGGAGCAGAAGAACAAGGTCTACGTGACCGCAGAGCTGAAAGACGAGGTCTACGTGACCACCGACGAGCAGAACGACGTTCCGTGACCGCAGACAAGCAGTACAAGGTCTCCGTGACCACAGACGAGCAGGACAAGGTCTACGTGACCACAGACAAGGAATACGACGTCTACGTGACCACAGACAAGGAGTACGAGGTCTACGTGACCACAGATAAGCAGGACGAGGTCTACGTGACCATGACGGAGCCTGGTGCTGAGTGGCAGGGCTTCGGGCTGAAACCACCGACGTTCGACGGCCACGACGAGACGTGGACGGAATGGAGTTTCGTGATGAGGGCTTACCTGGGAGGTCAAACGGCGCAAACGCTGAACCTCCTGGAGGCGGCTGAGCAGCGAGGAGATCCAGACATCTGTATGGCAGAGACCTTGCATCGTCTGGGAGCGAAGGAGTTGCGGCGACGAAGAGGATGCTCTTCGCGCTGGTCATGGCAGTGAAGGGCAGCGCGCAGATGCTGATCAGGAGCGTAGAAGATCAGAACGGAGCGCTGGCATGGCGAGCGCGGATCAAACGCTGCGAGTTTGCGACGACAATGAGGGCTCAGAGTATCACGACGGCAATTCTCAACGTGAAGAATTTCCTCTCGGACCTGGCAGGGTTCGAGCAGTGCCACTCAGACTGGGAGCGCGACATCCGGCGCTACGAGACGGCGTCGGGAGAAGTGTTGAATGCAGGAGTCAAGAAGCGCATCTACCTACAGAAGGCGCCGAATCACATCAGAACGATACTACAGATGCAGTACGACTGATCGGCACCACGATGCACGCGCACCAGCGGCGACGGTGCACGAGGGCGGGCACCAGCCGAAGTGTGCAAGCCCAATACAGGACTTGGAGCCGAAGGCAGTAAAGGAAACTGAACCTCAGGAGCCATGGGGGTGGACGCGCTGACGCGACAGCATCCCGAAGGCAAGGGCAAAGACGGCAAATGTTAAGGTGGAGACAACAAAGGCAAAAGCAGCGGCAAAGACCAGAAGGGCAAGGGCGCGGATCCCATGGCGAGGGCAGCATCAGCACGACAGCCAGCCTGGAATATGTCAGGAGAACCTGGGGCGAGGCCATGCTACGCACGTGGCCAGGGGGGCACTGCGCAAGGGATTGCCGGCGTCGAAAGGAGAACCCCAACTGCGACAAGGGTGAGCAGAAGGCCAGGAAGGAAGGGCGAACGAGATCGCGATGTACGACGGCTGGAGCAAAATTATCACACCACCACCACGGAGTCCAGCACCCTCGACGGCAGGACCTTCAGTCAGCCACGTGGGAGCAGGAGTCCGAGCGACCACCGCGATAGACGAGCACGCGACAGAGCGGGGAAGTGGCTTCATCTTCGCAGTTGCGAAGGACTGGAAGCCAAAGGTGCCGGAGAGAAGGATCTACAGCATGATGGGGAACGGCGCGCGGCGTTCGTTCTGGATGCTGACGGGCAACTGCGCACATGAGCACGCGCGCGGCATCAGGGGCTTCCCGAACGTGGAGCTCAGACCAGGACGCAACCCCAACCTGGCGGTCGCAGACGGCGCGCCGCTGGGGTACTACGCATCGAAGACGATGACACTCTACATAGCAGGCGACAGTATGGAGTTCCAGGTCACTGACGTGAAGCAGCTCACCAGGAGCGCGGGCAAGTTCTGCAGCAGGGCGGAGAATAGCGTGGCGCGGCACGACGGCAAAGGAGGGCTGCCGAGGCGCGAGACGGCAGGATTGGTCAAGCTTAAGACTATCAACCACTACGCATTAGAGCGCTGGACCAATATGTTCGACGACATGGAGGAGGTCCACCGGGAGATGGCGCTGCCAGCGCCGATCGGGGCAGCAGTCGCAGCAGCGCGACCAGGTGAAGAGGGCGAAGACGGAGGCGCAGTCCAGCGAGCATCGGCAGGAGGGCCTTGAGTTCGACCGCCAGGAGAGCGGCAGCAACCACGGGTCGTATCTCGAGGAGCTGCAGATGCACTGGCGGATGCGCCGCCAGAAGGGCCAGTGGCAGTTGCCGACGATCGCGAGACGGTAGAGCCCCAGACAACAGCCAGTGGACTACCTGAGAGCCAAGTGCGGAGGGGGTCGAGAGGCACTAGCTGACGCACTACCCAGCTGAACCATGGCGTGAGATCTGCATGCAGGCGAAGGCCAACGACGTAGCCCACAAGAAGAAGGATAGACGCGACGAGCTGATCCCACTGCTGAGCTTCGACTACGGCCAGGCGGGCATCGAGGGGGGCCCCGTCAACTTTGAGTTCGCGGTGGGCAGCGACGACGCTTCGACAGGGGGCATCTGGAGCACGGCCATCATCCAGAAAGGTCGAGGCGACGTCTACACAGTGGCCTCGGCGGTTTCGCGGCTAGCCGAATTGGGGCCCTCGCGGGTGGAACTAAAATCAGGAGGAGCCGCCGGGTTCTCATTCATCATGGCAGCCAGGGCCAGGGCGATCAAAGACGGCATCTGTGAGACGATCCTCATGGGGCAGTCGGAGAGGTACAACAGCCAGGCGAACGGCAGGGCCGAAAAGGGCCATCCAGACGGTGAGGAAGCAAGTGAGGACGCTGATGCTGCAGGTCAACAAGAAGCTGAACCACGACCTCAAGCCCGACACCCCATTCCTTACGTGGTTGCCAAGGCATGCAGCGTGGCTCTACAACAGATGCATGGTGGCATTAACCTCGTACCCTACGGGAAGACCCACATGCTCAAGCACCAGAAGCCCATCGTCGCAGCCGGCGAGGCAGTGATCTGCAGGAGGCCAGGAGCCCAGGTCAATAAGCTGGAGTTGTCGTGACTGGAGGGCATCTGGCTAGGACGCGGCGCGAGGGTGGACGAGCACCTGATCGGAACGCCGACGGGAGCGCGCAGGTCCACGGCGGCGAAGAGGAAGATGGAGAGCCGACGCTGGGACAAGGAGCTGTTCGACAAGATGAGGTGGGCACCCTGGGGGCCCGCGCCAACCGCGAGGGGTGGGCCGCCAACGCAGAGGCCACCACAGAAAACGATTCTACACGGGCCGCTGTTGAACTACCTGGGCCCGAATTCGGCAGCCGCAGCAGCAGCAGCAGCAGCAGCAGCAGCAGCAGCAGGAGAAGAACCGCAACCAGCACCACCACAGCCAGCAGCAGCAGCAACGGCGTCAGCACCGCACGTCGACGTGGACATGGACAAGAAACGATTGGGGGCGAAGAGGCCCAGGGGCGAGGCGGCAGGACCGTCAAAGCGGAGGGCGGCACCACCGCAGCCTGTGGGCATTCCGCTGGCAGAGAGGAGCCCCGGGCGAGAACGCGAAGGCGGAGAAGGAAACGAAGGCAAGAAGTCCAGGGTCACTACCATCCAGATGATCAGCGCGGTCAGGGAGATGCGCGAGAAGCCGCAGGTGGAGGATGATGAGACGCGCCCGCTGGAGGACGACTTCACGGAGGTGAGGAAGGAGCGCTTGGAGAAGATCGCAGGAGACGGCAAGAAGATCGCACAGGCAATCCCGATCAAGGACACGACGTCCAAGATCCCGACGGGGAAGTGGGTCGACATCTACCAGGCGGACGGCAGCAAGAAGAGTCGGTGGACCACGAGGGGCTTCGAGCAGCAGGTGCACGGGCACGAGAACTTCGTAGCCACGACTCCCTCACTTCCGCACCTGAAGGCGATGCTGGCCAACGCGGAGTTGCACGACCACGTGGTGGCGCTTGGCGATTGCAGTGGAGCGTTCTACCAGGCGCACCTCGCCGAGGACCGCATCTTCCTGGAACCACCACCAGAAGTAGGAGTACTTGAAGGGCATGTTCGGGAGGCGATGCGCGCATTTCCAGGACCCAAAGGAGCGCCGAAGGCTTGGGAGGACCACAGTGCGAACACCATGGAGGAGCTTGAGATGGCCAGGGGCCACTACGACGGGTGTCTCTTCATGAAGCTGAGCAATAGGATGAAGGCTGGGAGGCGCGCCGACGACTTCCTAATCGCTGGGCCGAGCGGCGACGTGGACAAGTTGTTAGATGCAATGGGAGAGAGACTGAAGTCACTGGACGCGGTGGAGCTCACCAAGAACGGAGATCAGGCGACGTTCCTGAACATGCAGGTGGGGAAAGTCGAGGGCGGCTACACGATCAGCGGCAAGACGAGCTTGATCGACGATATCCTGAAGGAGCTAGGCTTGGACACGGCGAAGCCATCAGTACTGTTCGAGACCAAGAACGAGATGCGCATGAAGAACGACGAGCTGAAGGTAGACACGGTGGGTCACAGTCGCTATAGGACCTGTGCGGGGAAGCTGCTACAGTTGGCGATCCGCCGTCCTGACATTCAACATGGAGTCGAGGGCCGAGTTCAACAGCAAGTGCATGTCAGGACCGACAGAGAAGGACCTGAGGAGGTTGAAGAAGATGGCTCGGTACCTCGCAGGCACGCGAGACTAAGATATGCAGTTGATTCCGAACAGAGGAGGTATTGCAGTGGAGTGCTGGTAGACGCAGACTGGGCCGATGACAAGACCGACAGGATCTCGACGAGCGGCGGCATCCTGAAGTACCGCGGATGCACCGACCTGTCGTGGTCCAGACGCCAGGGCTGCGTGGCATTCAGTTCGGCGGAGAGCGAGCTATATGCGCTGGGATCGGGGGCAGCGGAGGCTCTCGGACTAGCATCACTACTCGATGAGTGGAGGAAGAAGACGAATCCGCTCGTGATGAGCGACAGCAGCAGTGCGCTACACATCGTGAGGAAGCGCGGGCCAGGAAAGATGAAACACGTGGAGGCTCGTTTCCTGGCGATGCAACAGTGGCGAGAACAAGGGCGGTTGAGTTTCGGCAACGTATGCACTCACGAGAACCCGAACGATATGATGACCAAGCCGATGACAAAGGAGAAGCTGGATACATTATCGGAGATGGCTGGCTCGGTACGCTAGCAGGGAGAGAGAGAGGCTTGAGCCCAGGCGGGTGAGACATGAGTGAGAAGGTTACCTGCCTGTGTAGTAGAGCATCGGAAGATGAATGTTTGAGGGGAGGAGGACCTCAGTGGCCGAGCTACCCCCCCCTTCCATTTTAGAGGCTATTTTGATAGCGTTTCCTTCCGAGGTCTGGGTCCAGAGTGGACCTGGCGCCCTCGAGGGCGTGTTGAAGGAAACCGAGGAGAGGGGAGGTTCAACCAGAGCCTGAGGCGTTACCATTTCGCCACCCTTCCGCAGCCTCTTTGGCACAAAAGTCATCAAAACGCCCAGCTCGAAAAAATTCAGTCGCCAGGTCCCCAGACCCCCCACGTCATGATTTTTTCATTGCGTCGACCCCTGGAGGTCTCGACCCATTCCCTGGACCAGTTTTTTATCCCGAGTCGTTTCTTGACGGTCCCGAGGGCCGGTAAACCCCAGAGACCGAAAATAGCGAAAAACTTGCCGCCATGATTTTTTCATTGCCCGAGGGGGTCTGGGACTTCAAAGGAGGCGGGGTGCAGGGAGGCGCGCCGGCCCGCGCCCGGCCCGGCGGGCCTCGGCCCCAGCGGGCGCGCGCCTCTATAGACGCCGGCCAGCAGCTCCGCTCTGCAGCCCGCGCCGGGCGGCAGTGGAGCGGGCCGCAGCCAGATGCGGCAACCCGGCAGGCCGAGGTGGCGCGCGGCGGCCCCCACCTCCGGCCAGCCGCCGCGCTGGAGGAGGGCGTGCACGTGCACGCCCTCCACCAGTGCACGTGCGCGTGTACGTGCACGCGCACGTGCACGAGGCCGCGCCCGCGGCAACGGCCCGAGCCACCGCCTGCGCCGCCTCCGCGGCGCGGGCAGCCG